TCGGCCAGGTGTGAGGAAGGCTCTGCCACGGGCATCTTGCGAAGACTTGGGTCTGCGTTTGGATCAGCCTGCGAACGAGCCAGTGCAATCATGGCCGTCTGAGCTTCGAAGCTCAGCCGCTTCATGACGGCGATATCTCCAACGGTAATTGCCCGCGCCGGCGCCGCATTGCCAAGGAGCCCGCGCACATCATCTTCTGCCCTGCCACTGGTTGTCCAGGTTGGAGCCAAGCGACCGGAGGTGTTGACGCGCATCCCTCGAAGCCTCGAAGCCCTGGCAGCCATGCACCGCTCTGCCACGCACCGCTCTCCTAGGTTGGCTGCCTGCTTGGCGAAGGCTGCCTCATTCTCGGTCAAGACAGTAGCCGCCATGGTGCGGGAAGAGGATCGCTACGATCGCAAAGAAACTAACAAACGCAAATGTTCCATGAGGCAAGCCTGCCCGTCAACGCAGGCGTCATCTCGCTTGGCTGGTTGGATCTCTGGTAGCCAAGACCCTGCTCACTCGCCCCAGCACAACCGGTCACCACTGCAAGGTCGAAGTGGGCACCAAGGATGAGCTTGAAGAACTTGATGCTGTGTACAAGGTTCTTCCCAATGTATTTGCTTTGGCTTTCATTCTCCATGTCAGTCAAATATCCATGATGAGAAACTCAGACAGGGGCCACCATACTGCTTCTTGCTTGGTCGTCCACTTCATGAAGGCCTGCAGATCTCGAGCGCGCTTCAGTACAGTCGCCGGTGAACGCACACCGCAACCATGACGAATTGTCAGCAGCGCAGTGCTCCATCTCTGTCTGCAGCCGCGAGCTTGCGCAACACATGCTCACCAACCAACTCGTGACTCAAACCTGCTGCTTTCCAAGATAGTGAGCCAACTGGCAATCGCTCTTGTCCAGATCAAGTTCTGAGCTAAGTCTCGGTCGCATAGTGCTCGAACACGCTTTGCATACAAAGGCAGAGTAGAAACACCAGGTGTAGTTCTACCAATGAAAGCTTCACTCTCCTCGGGGTCCTTCTCTGCTGTAACCAACGGAGCTGGTGCTGGAGCAACACTCAAAGTGTCGGGCAGTCCATTGTTCAACTCGGGCGCAAAGATCTGTGCAAACACTCCTTGCTCCCAGGGCAGAAGAGGAAGGCCACTTCCCAGATTCCTGCAGGTCATGTTGAACATTGCTCTCTCCACAGTGGATGCTTCTGGCTCTGAGAATCTGGGCCCTTCTCCATCAAAGATGCCATCTGGATTCAAATAACCTCGGACTTCTTCCAACACGATAGGAGAATCTTCTCCTGGCACAGGATCTGCAGCTTCAGGCGGAAGAAACTCATCTCCAGCTTCGACCATGGCTATGCACCCCCCTGCCCAACCAAGTAGCGACGAGACTAAACGAAGTCCCTCCCATCACTACCCTTGACTGGTAAAAATGCAAACGAGAAATTGAATTCAAGTTGTTTCAGCCCCAAGCAGAAACAATACACTATCCACGCAGAAATAACTTTTTTGTTAACTTCGCCAACTGCATTCATTCTTCTCCTACTTCTTTTTTCCCTCCCCTCATTGTCTTTCTTTCTTTGCATCGTTGTTCCTTCGTTTCCTGACTCTGACGAAAAGGCTTCTTGACTCAGATGTTCTGGTCTTCTGACTCTGTCTTCTCCCAGAGGCCGGCAGAACAAAAGGCCGCGTCAAGCTGGAATCCCGAAGACCGAAGGCCGAGTCCCGAAATTGGATTTGCAAAGAACAAATCCCGAATCCAATGTTGGCGGGAGACCTCTGGATTGCCACTCGAGATAAGAAGTACTGTTGGAATGAGAAGGCCACGGCAACACTGAGGCGTTCCACTTCCAAATTCAATTTCTAACATCATGGCTTTCTGTCACCTGCTATTACAGCCCTCATTGATGAGAAAGGATGAAAGCTACCTGTCATCATACTCTGGCCTGCGGGTTTCTCGTTCCCTGAATGGTGTTTTCCCTTCCGGCGTTGGCTTCCCGCTCGGGTGTTTTTCCTTCTTTGGGGTGTTTTGTTGCCCTGGTGTTTTTCTTTCCCGTACGCCGCGGTGTTTTTCGTGCCCGGCTGGTGTTTTTCAGGTGCTGAATGGTGTTTTGTGGGGCCGCTGGCGCTTGTTGTTCCCTGAAAGGTGTGTATTGTTCTCAGCGTTCCGGGTTTGTGTGAAAAAGTAAAAGGGTGTTTATTGTTCCCTAGAAAGTGTGTATTGTTTCCAGAAGTCTAGCTTGCGGCCGGCTATCGCAAAAAGAAAATAGGAAATGAAAAGAAAGGAAGGGCACAAGGAGAAGAAAAGGTCTAAACTTCGCTCGTTTGATCTATCCTGTCTGAACTATGCAGAGCTCAGAGGTAAACACGTTACATTTAGATGCGTTAAGCGTTCATTTTTTGTTTACATGGTCTAAAAGGTGGATGTGGCAAGGTTTTCACATTTGACACCTTTGGTGTGTCGCTACATTTGAGATTTTGTTGTTCAACAAGCCATCTTTTGCATACATGGGTGACATGCGCTCACAATGCAAGAGTCGAAGTTGTTTATACATGTCTTCCTTTGTTTGGTTCTATGTTTAAGTTTGCGAACGCTGTCAGGCGAAGCATGTGTACTAATTATGGTAAAAGGAGCTGGCACCAAAGAACAACCATCGATTTCAGCCAATGTTTTTTCCATCGATCTTGCGACGTTCGGCGCATTACCGCTTCGCACTTTTTCGCAGAAGCCTTTGCAAATTTGGCCTTTTCCTTCCGAGTCGGCTGGCTTCGCTCGCATCGCTCCGCTCTCCCCCAAACCGGGCGCTTTCTTCCCAAGAGTGAGCGGAGCGCAGTACACCAGAAAGATGGCTTCACGAGGATGGTGTATAGGTTTCACAAAAAAAGCTAACCGGTTTGGCCGCACGGACTTGCGGGCGGTCAGTCTTGACTCGCGCGCCCACTCCCCCCCTTCCCAAGTTTTCTGGGGGTCGGGGTGGGTGTGAAAATTGCAGGAAACGCTGTACACTTGGGTGGTCAGTGAGAAATATGTACACGACAACTACGAACATCTACGAACGAACTTGCGGAGGCATCGGCCAGAAACGGACAGGGTCGTGAAAGACCTATCCCCACTGCTTACTACAATGTTATTCTAGCTACCCAGGGCCCCGCGGGGGAGCACCCCCGCCCGCTTTTTAAGAGCCCACCCGCCTGCACGCGCTGCCGCTCGCCTAGAGACACATGGTCTTTCCCTTTTAAACGTTACGATGTCAGCTGGCAGCGCTCCCCGTGTCGTCACAGAATCCAAGTCGGCTGGCTTCGCTCGCATCGCTCCGCTCTCCCTCAAACCGGGTGCTTTTTTCTGAAACCTATACACTTTGCACCATGCTTATCCGCTCATGAACCATCTTTTTGCTGTAGGCTCACCCACCTGCGTGCGCTGCCGCTCGCTTAGAGACCCATGGCCTTTAAACGTTACCATGTCAGCTGGCAGCGCTCTCCGTGTCGTCACAGAATCCAAGTCGGCTGGCTTCGCTCGCGTCATCTTTGGCCTGAAGGTTCATCGTGTTGTCTTCAAAACATGCGCCGCCTTCAAGCCCACAGCTGCAAGTCTATACCTAGATAATTCGTACGAAGCACTTTTCCAAAATGGTTGCCTTTTCCCGTACGGCGTTCTTGATTTTGCGGCGGCATTTTTCGTGGTTGGCTCAAAGTTGTATAGTTGGGTGGTTTGTGCCCTTCGTTGGGTATAGTTGGGTATAGTTGTGTCAAACCGCGAAGGTTGATGAACGCACCCCAATATGTGAACTCCTTGTCAACATACCTACCGGTAACCTTTGGGAAGGTGCAGAATTGGTGCAGTGCCACTGCAGTGCGTGACATTTGCGAAGTTTGCGGGAAAAAATGGCGGCGTAAATCCGCGTAATGGCGGCGTAAGTCCACGTAATGGCGGCGTAAATCCGCGTAATGGCGGCGTAAATTCCCGTAATCATTTTGGCAACATTTGTCAACCATGGACCATTGAGATTGCTTGGCTTATCAGGGTGTAGCATACACATGAGCACAAAAACTCTTGTTAGGGGGTGGTCAACTGTCAGCCTGAGTACCAGAAGTTGGGTATAGTTGGGTAAATTTGGCAATGGGAATCGTAGAGCGGTCAGGGATTTGGGACTGCGATGACGTTGTCGTGGAGGTGAGTGTGGGGGTTTATCCCTGAGCCTGGCGTGGTTGAGACATGCACCATCCTTCCCCATATATGGAATGCGGCGTTTTGTTTTTCTGGCGGCGTTTTTTTTTAAACAGCAATTTTCCACTCTGGTAGCAAAAACTTTGGCCACAATGGAAAGCGGCACTTTTTTCATCCACCAGGTGGATCTAGGTATAAGCCATCGATGAGCAAAACATTATGGGAAAATACGCCGAGCTGTGACTCTCCAAATACGGACATCAGATTTGAAAACAACCGGCTGCGAAGAAACTTCGCCGGAGATTCAATTGAAGACAGCGAGTATTAGAACTTGGCGCTATACCAGCACAATAAGATCAACAAGGGAAGGAAAAACACTTGGTGGGGAACGAAAAACACTCCGGGAAGGAAAAACACCCATACGGGAAAGGAAAACATCTGTACGGGAAGGAACAACACCATTTCAGGAAGGGGAAACCCCCCCGGGAAGGGGAAACCCCCCGGGAAGGGGAAACATCATTCCGGGAAGGAAAAAACACCCTACCCGCATCATACTGTGATTCCGCCGTCTATCCTGATGACATAGGTTGAATCTTTATCGCCCATCGTTTCACATGTCCTATCTGACTTTCTTTCAGTATATATCCAAAAACCTGTCGTGCAATTGAAGAGCATTTCAGTAATTCCTGCTAAGCGTGATTCTTTTTCGTAATCAGGACTCTGTTGGACCTCCCGTTTGCTTGATTGAACATCTGCTTCCTTGATTGAACCTCCCTTCTTTGTTGACCCCGGGTTCGGCAGCACTGCGCAACAGCCCTCTTTGGAGAACGCGAAGAATCTTTCATCCCTTTCCTGAAGATACCCTTGTGGTTGCAGAGATTTGGTCTTTGATCAACCTTGTGGTAGTTGACGGAGGCTCCAAGGAGGCCGCTGTAGCAGCAGCCTGACTGTGATCTATCGAAAAGTTTCTCCACAAATGAGGAATCGACCACAATATGATCGGCGTCTGGTACTCGTTCGCAACTTGTGCTGCTGCATTACGAAAGGAGTAAGTTGATGGGCCCAACCAGATTTGAGACGGGGGAGCACTAGTTCCGTCTCCTGCAAAGGATCTGTACAACTCAACCATCTTTTGTTCTGAGCTTTCGTCGTCCATGACACAGAAGCGTGGACACCACCGGACAATGTCTAAATTCAGTCCCTGCAGCTTCATTGGTGTAACTGATTGGTTGGAGGTCTGACTGCTCCATTCTTTCAGAAGTTCCAATACATTCTCGTTGTAAGAAGCATCGCTGAGGTTCCCAGTGAGGGACATTGTTAATCCCACACGGATTTCAACTGGAAGACTGCAATTATAGGCCCAGTCGAGAGCATTGCTCACTCTGAAGGTCGGATCATAGGTGCACGTTGGAGCTGAGGGCCCAATGATGTCTTCAACACGGTCAACACGGTTGCAACGAGTCACGTTGACCAGGTAATCTGGACACGACTGTACAAGAGTGACCATGACCAGGCTGACCAGGCTGACCAGGCTCCATGTTGCTCGGCACATGATGGTCTCTTGCCACCTGGAGCTTTTGTCCTGAAGCCTAGCTGCGCCTCAGCAGAACTTCTCAAACGCAAACTGGCAGATCCATCTGGTTTAACCGATCAACTATTGAGTATCATGCGTCTCAACAGCATTCCTACTACTAGAACTGAACGCTCTACAATCTTGCCCCGCTACCCCTTCAACCACGAGCAGCACAGGACATTTTTGCATCTGGCCGCCAGGCTTTGTGAAAATACAGTGATCAGCAAGGAGCACTCGTGCCGTCAGAGGGCTGAGGCCGCCCAAGGTTGTAGCCTGACAGCGAAACAAACTATGATCACTCTGAAACTATGCAGCTGGTCTAGAACCAAAAGAACTAGGATCACTCAAACATGTTCAAGCTGTTGAAAGGTGACGATCAAACGCACAGAAAGCAAACCAGAGATCAGTGGGCCTTGACCCAGTGGAGGTTCTCCGCCCGCTCCGCGGGAAGAAAGCATCCGCAGCTTCGGAGTTCCCGTAGCTCTCGTAGCTCTGGCAAGTCAATTCTTTCTTTCATGCTGTTGATGTGCTGTTCTTGGGCAGCCCGCACTGCGTGGGCCCCAGCGGCCACATCTGCTTGGAGGCCTCGACTGGGGCTTCACTTGGCTGAAGGCCCTTTCAAAGAATCCTTTCAATGAATCTTGCTTGATAGACGCCCTGGAAGGAGGACTTCGAGAACCTCTAGAACCAACAGCACAATTCTTGAACACACAAATGCAAGGTGGCCTGTCAATGACTGTGCATGGAGCAGAAGCAGGGCGTGTGACCATTTCGTTGCATCCGCTAGAGATTTGAGAACTGTATCCAAAGAGGGTAGGTCGTGCAAGTTCCAGCAAGTCATCTCAGTAAAAAAATGCAAACTCCTCTGCCAGCACTTTGCAGTAGCAAAGGCTCGACATAAAACCATCCAAGGCAGCGGCAAACACTCCGTTTTGAATGATACCTCCAGCGCATCGGAGTTGAGGAGTTGGAGGGCAATCGGCCACAGCTGTGCCTTTTCACAGGCACTTGCGCATGAAGTCAAGCTGACGAGATCAGGCAATGAAGTCACGCCTACAGTGCCCGAACACCGTCTGGACGCATTCATTCTGTCAGGCATGGGGCCCCGCATCATGTGAAGCAGTTGTATGCATTCCTGCCATTTGGAAGCACGCTCGCAAGAAATCAGAGCCGACTTCATGCTCATAAGATCCGGCCAGCTGTCCACATTGGGGCTGTCCAAAGCATCGGTCTTGCTGTCCAAAATCCACAATGACCATCTCCACTCATGCTGGGTACCGCAGATGGTGATAGCCGCATTGCAACTGGAGATGGGCGCCGCCTTCAATCTCTCCACCTGAGCCGCCTTCGCCTCTGCAAGCAAGGCGACAGCTCGAGGCCAAAGCGAGATGCCGTCGCACGAGCTAATGACACTGCTATAAGTGGCATCATCAGGAGATACACGGAGTGAACTCAAGGAGAGGGACTTCATCATGCGAAGTATGTCCAAACACCTTTGCCACTGAGAGGCCCGTGCACAACCAGCCACAACAACATTGAAGACATGGGTGACATGACTCTGAGCCTTGAAAGTTTCCGGCAGAAGCCCAAGTGCTGCTTCCCACAAAGCAGCAATGGCAAAACACGTCCCGGCAGACACTCGACCATAGCTGTCAAGGCCGTTTCCAATGTCCGTTTGCAAAAATTGCAGGCCGCGTTCCCACTGAGATGAGTATGCAAAGGCGCTTAGCATCGCATTGAAGCTGACCTTGTCGACTATCCCTTCCAGCGAAAGATCCCGGAAGAGTGCCTTAGATAAGTCCAACTCTTCGAAAGTCAAACACCTCCTTTTCTGTCTTCGACAAGTGGATCCGAAGCATCGAGTTCATGCTTTTCCCACAACACAAATGGACAACACGACCCGTTCACCACGAGGCTTTTGAGAAGGAAGGAGCCCTGTTGAGAACTGAAAATAGAACGATCTACAAGACCCAACATCAAAGTTTGAAGAGATTTAAAAAGAAGGTGATGCTCGGACTCTTCGGACTCTTAACTTAGAGTCAGGTGCCAAGGATTGTTGCCACTCTTCTGCTCGACCGCAGGCGCTGATAGCAGCCGTGCCACCCAGAACATTGGGGCCGATCGTCCTTCCAAGGAGAGCTAAGGCCATGGCCCAGGCTGCTGACCTCAAGTGGAAAACCAGGTGAATACCAGGTGGATTGTACTTGGTATTCAAGATAACTCCACACTTTGCTGCTCATTCCCCCAAACATGACTCTGATATGAACGACATGTGTAGACAGTGTAGATGCTTCCTGTACATCTTCAAGGAAAGCCATGTATGAATTTGTATACTGTACCAAAGTTCCTTACGACGAGGTTGAAAGCGAATGTCAAATACTCTGCAAATAGCAAACGTCCTTGCAGGCATGGCTCTCCGCACAGGCACTCACTAGCCTGAGCTACGAGATTGAATTTTCAGAACAATCCTCAATCCTGCAAACTATCCAAAGTCAAGAAGCGTGTTGCAACTTGAATTGTTTGGAAGATGATTCGAAGCTTCCATGTCCTGTCGCAGCATGCCAAAGTTTGGATGAAGCATCTAAAGCCAGCGGAATATGATTCCCTGTCCCAAAAGAAGACCACAACAGGCACACATTCACTGAACATGCAAATTGGATCTTTCAATTCTTTCAATCTGCCAGGCGTCGTGTAAGAGCTGCATCCCAAGCTGCCAAGAAGCTCCCTGGTCCATAGGCAACAAAAATGGAGCTCCCCACCCAGATCTTCACTTGAATAAATACATGTGGTCCGTGGTACAATCCCAAATCAACGAAGATAAGCTGACCAGAAGTCAAAAACCAACAAACACCTGCGTGCAGACTGTGCAACACACAAAGTCACAAGAGACCGGATCTTGCACCCAAGTAGCTCTTTGGCAAGCTGCCAGCGCAGCATTGAAGCAAATTGTGTCCAGCCTGGTGGGATCATTCACTAACCACGCACATTCACTAACCTAATAGCGATGGCCTCCACCCTAGCAGCAATGGCCACCAGCGTACTTGCGATGGCTTCCAACCTCATACCTAGACGGAAAGACCTAGACGGTTTGGAGCCGAACATCTGTTTGACGGAAAGCTTGGCCTCCACTCGGTTCAATCGGCTCGAATCGGGCAAGCAAAAGCAAGCAAATGTCTTCTTTCCAACCTTCAGTTCTTTCATTCCAGGCGCCCATTCATGTCATATGTGATACCCTTTTTGTTCAAAGAAATCCGACCTCAACGAAGTGCTTCTGAGCACCGTGAAAAAGTCCAATGCCAAAGGCCATTGGGAGGCCCTGCGAAGCGCAACCTGAGCCACAGGGTGCCTCATAGGCTGCCATAGGCTCCATACACTAAGATACTCTGCAGGTGTTAAGAATCATGTCCTTTGCGCTGCTCACTTCTAACCTATGGGGCCATATACATTCATTCAAACTTTGCCATTCTTGAAGGAACTGCCCGCCTCACCCTGAACGAGAAGAATGAACGCCAACATACGGATTTCTTGCAAGGCAAAGAACCAAAATACGGGTGCTTCGCAGAACTGCATCCGGCTGCGAAAGGATGGAGCTCAAAAGTTTGGCCCAACGTTGGTCTCCTGTGGTGGAATCATGGTTATTTTGGTTATGCTGATACGCTATGAGTATTCTTTGAGTCCTGCCTGCAACATGTTTCCCGAATTGTTGCCCGTCCTCGAAATCTCATCCCCCATTTCCATTGATGTGCTGCAGGCCATAGCGATGCGAAGTGGCTTGGGGAGGCTTGTCCACAAGCACAGTCTTTTTGCAACACAGGAGAAAATCAAACTAATAACAAGGGCATCGCTACTAGTAACAAGTGCCTTACTAGTAGTAACAAGAAGCTAGTAGTAACAAGGGCATCGCTACTAGTAACAAGGGCATTACTATTAGTAGCTAGAAGCTACTAGTACAAAGGGCATCGCTACTGATGACCGTCCTTAGAGGGCAACACCGAAAATCCATCAGATTACCATCCTTTGCCGCTGCGAGGACTGCTGTTGAAGGGTATGTGCCTAATAGCAAGAACAAACTTCTCGTTTGCATCTTTCGCCTTCGACCCCTGCAGCTCTGACTGTAATTTCCTTGTTAAGACTTGTTTATCAATGCAAAGAATCAATGCAGGGTGTTGGACCTGGAGGAGAAACTGCAGTGGAGTGGTGGATATTTTTTGAGACAACTTGCTTGGTCACCTTTTCTAGAAACCAACACTCCGGAATTGTGAATGGACACAAGTCATCCTCCCAGTTCTATGCCGTTCTACGCCTACGAATTCTAGCCGGTTGCTCCCGTTGTTCCTCATGTCATACGCTTCTTCAGTGCCAATACACTGCATGCACGCTAACATCACAGTGCACATAACGGCCTCCGTAGTAGTTTGCTGCGAGGAACCCTAAACTTGTTGGTCGGCCTGCGTAGGCACCGTCCAGTAGTATCTAGTATGCTCCTGTGTAATTGCCATCAGCTTTAAGCCAGAAGTACATACGGTAATTTTGCCGTGATCGAATTCTTCGCTTCAGTCACAGGAAGCCAGCCATTTTGGCAGCTGTGTTCTATGTACAACTCAGCGCTGGACAACTTCCTCTAGACCTGACAAGACACAAGCTGCACCTCCTACTTCTTCGCATACAATAGTGCATGGCAATCCTCGGGAAAAAGATCCAACAATTGATGGGCCCAAACGCAAAAAATTACAATGTATACTATACTGTGTATGAATATAGATATATGCACCTACGTGTATTCCAAAACACAGCCGCAAGTTCTACTTCTACGCGTTGCAGCGAGTTTGTCTAAGACGGAAAAGTCACTGACACGAATTCGTTGTCTTGGGGTTCCAACAGCCCTGACCTCCTCGCCAAACCGAAGGAGGGGGAGGGTTCCCCGGCACCCCCCAAAGGCCGCAACCGCCAAACCGGTGCTCCTTAGGCCCGAGTACCTTAAGATAGTTTCTACCTCATGGTTCCCAACCATTTGAAGAGGTAGTCCTTTTGGTTCACCAACCCATTCACCATCAAGAAAATAGATCTTTCCCTTGAAGCCCGATGCTGCGGTAGAATGAGAACTTGCTCTGTGTCTAAACATGGGGTCGTGCTCCTTCATCTGAGTAGCCACTTGTACAAACGAGTGTAGCTCGTTTTTGACTGACACTGCGTATGCACAAGGAATTCACAATGTAGGACTTGACCCTCTTCAAGTCTTACACTTAAGTATCTTTGACTGCTACTGCAACCACTCGAACAAAGTCTGATGTTTTGCTCCAAATATTTGAAGACTGTCTATATGTGTGTGCGGATCCTAAGGTTGCCGAAGTCAGTTACCCAAAGCTAAACCAAGTCCAACGTCCTCTCATGCGGTGTGGTCACGCCTGCCGGAGTGGGAAGCGGTGTGGCCTCTCGCCGCTTGCGGCTCCGCGATGCGGCGTCCACGGCCTGGTCCAAAAGACTGTACAATGTCTTGCTTTCAAGGGAACAAAATCTGTTTGAGTGTTTCGTTTACTTGTTATGTTTGTTCATTCTCATGTGTTTCTTTGGTTCATGAGGTGGAAGGCAAGTCAAGTTTGGCCTCTCAGGCGAAGAGCCAGGCACTTTTGTGCCAAGGCGCGTTCACAAATTACACCGAAATAGAGCTTTGATACCAAGTAGCTCTAAAATCACAGGCAGACAAGCGGAGAGACACTTCAGTGGGTGTCGAAACTGCAGATTTGGAAACGTTCCACGAGTTGTTGCACGCAGAACGAAATGCTAAGGATATGGCGAAGCTGCCGTCTGGGACCCTTGTTGGGGAGACAAGTGGGGAGACAAGGCAGGACGAAAACGCCGATCAGCCACCCAGTCATTGAGAACACGTCCTTGCTCCTAGTAGCTGTAATAGCCCCTATAGTCTTGAGCTACTATCTGTTGAACTATATCCTACATGCCGAAAAACAACACTCAACTCCGACAGTTTCCGACGTGCGACACCTGCCATCCGAGAACACCAATGAACAACATACCTGTGCTTCAGAGGGCGTTGCAAAGCATATTGCATGCAATCTGGTTGCGGTCGCCGCCCAGATTGTTCAGTAACAGCAATGGCTTCTGGCTTCGGTGCCGAGGCCCGGCCCCAAAGCTTCCCTTCGGACAACACAACCCAGCTGCAGTCGCAGTCTACAAGTTTTTCCTTGCAATGACCAACATTAAATCTGTTGTATGTAACAGCCAACAGCAGTCATTTATGGCGCAGTCTTTCATGTCGGTCCCGGACAAGTGGAGACAAGCCAGCAGCGACGACCAAGACGCAAATCAGCCACCCAATCATTGAGAAGTAAGGACCCATAGGTTTCAGGTCTGAGGAAAAATGAAGGATATTCCTGCAGTTCCCCCAAGAGAAGTCAAGTCCAAGACCGTCGAAGTCGAAGCCTTCTTTGATCCAAAGGGCTCGTTTGAAGGTCTTCTTGGAAGCCGAACCCACCTTTGGTGGTTGGATTCATCGATGAGTCCCGAAACTTCTTCTGGAAACCCTCGACGCATCTCCACTCCGAGAACATGTCAATTGCATCATGGTTGAAATTAACATTCGATCGGCGACGTCCTGTCTTGTCAGGAAGATCTTTTGCACTCGGTCTTTACATCAGGATCAAGAAAAACGTGCGGCAACTCTGATCCTGCCTTCTGACTGAAGTCGTCGCTCGCTAAAGCTTCAATCGAATAAGCATCGATATACTCCTTGCAACAAGAGCACTGGTCGATCAGCTTTTTGCAGGATTTCCATGAAAATCATCTCTTTCATGGAGATGAACCCGGGATTGCAAGACATGTGCCTTCCAAAAAACAGAAGTGCAGGCTGATTTCAGAATAGAAATGGGTAGAAATGATCACATTCAATGTTCTAGCCCTGGGCACGCTCCTTTGCTGCTTCAAGAGAAAATCAAGGTCCGGACCTGCCTTCACATCTGCAGTTACACCAGCAAAGAGATCCTTTCGCCTTGAAACATACACCACCAATCCTGCACAAAACTGCCACCGCTTTATGATTCATCTCATTTTCTTGCCCTCGTTATCCAAAAGAGGAATGTATATCATAATACTGGACTCATGAATGAACTCCAGCAAGAAGCATCCAGTAGGCTCCAAGACCTGAGTTAGGCCTCAGATGTTGAGGATCAGGGGGTGAAGACATGTCCAGCACCGTTCACACAAAGAACACTCACATTTTGATCAGGACTCAGGCACTGTGTTGTGTCCGATTCAATACTCATCTTCTTGGTGATGCGTCACTGTCTTGAAGAAAACGACTTGAGTCTGAAGCCGTGCCCGTGCTGAAAAGGGCAGTAGCCAGTCTCAATGACCTATATATTTCATTCTATGACCTGTATCAAGTCTCGAATTTTAGGAGAAAGACAAACATACAACATGCCCAGGCCCAGGAGTTCTGGGCCGCCAGGCCCTGGAGCAAGTCTCAAAAGAGCATCTTCCTCCGGATCCACGGCAGCTTCTTCCGTGCGTTCAGAGACCTCGCCCACCTGGGGTTGACATATCTCTGAACATCCCCAAGAGGAGTTGGGCACCTTTTTGCCAGGTTCTGACATTCAGCGGTTTCCACACAAATCAGCATCGGCAGTGAGAACCAGTACAACCAGAGATCCACGCCGGCTCGCCATCCAGTTTCACCAAATCAGACCTCGTTCAATCACCGAATGTGGCTATCCCATCTCTTTCTACATCTCTGCACATCAATGTTGTGGGTCTACCACCAATACAAATAGAAACTTGGCAACCTGGCGGTTGCTACTACGATATTGTGCAACCCATCAAAGGGTGTTATATGTCCGAAGTGCCAAAGTAACGAGAGTAAACGCTTCTATATTTGCACTCAGTCCAATCCCGCTGAAGCTGACGCAACTACAGCAGGCTGCTGCACATTCCGTTTATTCAATGGCAAGAGTGTGTCCGCTCCCTATGAGAACAGCTTTGAGAGCAAGTATTGACACCAAGGACAATAATAGGCTGCCAACAAATGCGCCAGGAGCTTTGGCCTGTAGTCTGAGGCCTTGGTGCCCAGCTTTCACTGGCTTCTCGGATTCTGCCTTTTCTGCTATCCCGTGCTTGCCCGTGTCTTGGGTCCCAGCTTCAGTGCAAAGGTTTCCTCTGAAGTTCAACATATTGATCTTCCTTGGACACATAGCTGCATTTCACTCTTTCCCAGAAATGACAGCTCCAGGAATGTGCTCTCCTCAGGATTCTTTGAATGTCATGATTGTGCTCAGGAACCGTGGCAGCTCCTTCTCATCAAAGCTCACCTGATTCAGCTGACATTCCTTTCTCTTCCATTGCCTCAAGCCCTGTGACAGGGATTGTCAGTCGAATGATTTCTCCTCGTATTGAGCTTGCCTTGCCGCAAATGAGGTTCAACTTCATCTGGTAGTTTTTGGCCAAGGATTCACTAGCAAAAACTAAGTCTCCCACTATCTCGTTCTTGGACAAGTCCAAGAACTCTAGGTCACGCAGGCACATCAAGTTCTCCACAACGGCCTCGTCTTTTCTCAACGTTCTGCACTTTTGAACTGTTTCTCAAGTTCACTGGGGCGTTGGCAATTCTGTTGTACTGCAGCGCCAAAAACTGCAACCTGTAAGCTTTCTCACCCTCTTTGCTGCTTTTGTGTAGTCTCTCTTTGCTGCTTTGCATCGTATGTCCTATGTCAAATCTTATGGCAGTAGCAGTATCGGCACCTTGGCATCCAATCCAAGTTCTCGATTCTTGAAATGCGGTTGGCTTGAAGGTATAAAACCTGGGCAACTCACATCCCACATCAAACCCCGCATCTGTTCTGTTTGAATTGATTCAAGCTTCTCGTGAAACATAGATGCATAAAGCAACGTGTCCGTTCGATTTCAGCAATTCCAGCAAAAGCTACACATATAGCGGCACTCACAAGTGCACATTCACAATTCAAAGCATTGAAATTCATCCCCACCTCAGCAGACTCAAAGGGCTCCAAGCTAGAAATCTCTGAAATGCCCAGCCAGTCTAGATGGATCCTTGGTGCCGAAGCCCTTCAATGGCTTTTCAACTACAGACGCACAGTCTAACAGGTTGCCAAGCGATGTTTAGCTTCCAGCGTTTTCAAACTCTGGATGCGTGAGGCAGCCTCCTCATCGTGCAAGGAGTCGTATTCGGCCAGGGCAGCCTTCACGTCTCTCCATGCTGTTTTTATCAAAGCTCGCGCAAATGGAACACTGCACATGCTGGTTCAGGCAGGGTTAGGAAGTGATATACATATAGAAAACAAGTCCCTTGAACTGAAGAATGACCAACCTGCCTGTGTCATGGACCTTTCCAGCACCAACCGGAGGGAGATCCTGACTTCAAAAAGGATTAAGAAGGCAACGGAAAAACTTGACAAAGCATCGGAACCTGTTTAAAGGACTCTCAAATCTCAGTGTTGCTAGGCATCCAGCATCTTCTCGGGCCGTCCGTCCCAGAATTGTGATGGGTGTGTGATATCATCCTGAAACCCCAGCAGCCATGAGATAAGTCCAGCATGCTGCTCACCTAGCTTTGCCAACGCCGAGAAGTATCTCGAGAAGCATGGCGGGAAGGGAGAGGGAGGCAGGGGGGGGGGGAAGGAGGGAGGGAGCAAGCGAGAGCGAGCGAGAGCGAGTGAGAGGGAGGGAGGGAGGGAGGGGAGGGAGGGAGGGAAGCAAAACAAGAAGACAACAAACTTCCAGCCTTGCTGTCGCCATCCGCCATGTCCTTTGCCCTCAAGTGCTCGACTAAAGTGTCCCGTGAATGTCAATGATTGACTGATCAGTAGAGCATCTGATCAAAGGGAACCATCCGCGGAATTGATGCGATTTTGAAACAATGGTCTTGATATATACGTTGGGTTTCTCAGCTCCAAGGCTTGACGTGAAAATCATTGGCAGTTCTAAAACCAATGAGGCCAATGAGCATTGAGAACATCCTTGTTTTCACACAGTTCACACCTCAACAGCCCGCTCCGCACGTTTCCTCCACGGCCGTGTCATCTGGCGCTGAGAAATGAGTGAGACACCCCGCATCATTTGCAGCGGGGTAACTTCACACCAAGCAAACCCGGTCTTGCCACTGCGCAAAATTGCAGAAATCCGCACAGAGCTCCACTGGGAAAAAACACGAAGCCAATCTTGCGTGTTGGGAACAAGGAGTTGATGCAAAACAAGATCGCGAAGCTGTATGGGGTGCAAGCTTGACATCTTGTAGTTGAGTGAAATACGTCTGGCTAGGGTTTGTGCCATGAGGCTCAATCCTTTGCAGTAACTCAGCTTTGCGACCCCACCGCAAGTAGCAACTCAATTGACGGAACTTTTCAAACACCCCAACTATGTCCCCAATCCATTTGTGAGGAGCTCACCCAAGGTTCCAAACAGCCCAGGGTTCCACCATGGAATTCCGGCTGTCAAGCATTCCACCATGGAATTCCGGCTTTCAAGGCCTGTAAAAAGAGCACCGTGGAATTCCGGCTTTCAAGCCCTCTAAGTCTAAACAGACTGCGCGCCACTCCCAGCCCAGACAGCACCCAAGGTT